AAATGTAGCATCGGTCTTGAATCCCGATTGTATTATTTCACGAATATACCATCAAATTTGCGCACGAGACAATAATTCAGTTTGCGTGCGATTTGATTTCCAAAAACTATTCCAGCTTTTCAAGCTAGTACAATGTAAAGCGAAAAAAATCATATTTTGAATCTTAAAACTGGAGACACGGACTGTGTAATAAAATGAATAATCAGTAAGAATAACTTATGCCTTTGAAGTTTTTTAACAAGAGAAGAAGGATAACGCTTGGTATCGTGAACTGTTTTAAGACTTTTCTTCTGTTTGCGCATAAGTGCCATTTTATCTCTTGCGGAAGTGTCTCTCACCCAGTGCTGTTGTAGAAAATTTGTAAATTTCAAACCATAAATCTGTACATCCATTTTACGTTTGCTGCGTACTATTTCAACTAGTGGTCTTTGACAAAAAAAAAAACAAAAAAAACTAATAAATTGCGCGCGTTTGTTGAGAAATTGTATCCTAAAAATGGCCTCTCACGCTAAACGAATTACGTTTCGATGAAGAGACGTCGCTATGTAACATACACAAGTGGCAATTTGATTTACAATATCTCATATGGTGAATGATATATAATGCTGCATCGCAAAGTACATCAATGTATGAAGCATTGTGAACAAAATCTTTTAGTTAACATATTTGGGTGTATGTGTATTGAAAGTATGCACGCTATCTATATATTTCATTATATCTATTAAAATACAACAGAATTAGTATGCAGATAGTGCTGTTTGACCCAGTCTTCATAATTGATGTATTGTGAATATTATTTTTTATTTCTATTATACTGAATTCCCAACAAATTGTGTAAAATATACAAGCTGCATATTGTTATGCAAAATCAAATTTATCGCATCTTTTGTGCAATTATCATTATAAATTATATAGACTACAATATTGCTGAAACTCGAATTGTATGCAGCCCATTCATAATCTCCTCGATAAAAAGTATGTTCCAGCAAGAGAATAATTATATGTTACTACAATATCATCTTGGGATTTATGTTATCAAATTAATCGAAAGAATGTCTTTATACTTAGGCTTAGACTAAAGTAAATTCCACCAAAGTAGATTTTGAAATATCTTCACGTTTAATTGTGTAATGTAAAAATTTGTGTTTACAAATGGAATATACATACCTCTTTGTCAGCTTCGCATTTCAGTATTACACTATCAGTAATATAATAGTGTAATTTAAATCATTCTATTAAAAAAGTAACAAGTTATAACTCCATGTGGACGAAATCAAGCTTAAGGAGAATAAAATGATTTCCTTAGAAATGGACGTTGCCTTCCTTTGTTACTCGTACAAATTAAGAGTTTTCCTTTTTTAACTTGTATCGATGCTTTCTCTCGATGCACTTTCGACTTAAATGACATTCAAATTTGTGTAAATATTTTCTCTCTCAGACATGTCTATGGTTTCTTAGAGAATGGTTGAAACATTTTAAAATTTGTCAATAATATGAGAATACAGAAATCATAATTAAAACTTACCAATAAATAAGAACAATGCGCTCGGTTTGAAATATTCATAATACTTAGATATATATTCTGCGTGTTGCTAAAGATCGTATATTACACATCATGTATACACACCAATCTCATTAAAAGAATAGACACTGCTTATGTTTAACAATTTATTTAAATCAGACGATGACTCCATTCGGTATATCTATGTACAATGTATAATTTAATAGATTTGTGATGACAAATTATATATATAATTGCTTGTCAAATGCTATATGAATAAGATTGAATCTTCAGAGAGGAGCCACAACTTGCCGGATACATTGCTTAAATTGTGAAACTACATTCCGATACCAGCACAATGGCTAACATCACCGTGTTAATTTTCATTGGCTAACGATACTTTTTAGGGACAAACATTAATTTTGTGCTCTTTATAGTTGTCCATTTGTGTTTCTTGAGGTAATATGAAGCAGCAGTGAGAATTATCATTATTCCAAGACCCTGCAAATTAATTAATATTGAAATGATTGCAATAAGTTGCATCGAAATAAAATAATATAGTAGTTTAACGTACCTTAATAGTCATTTGTTTTCGTTCATCGAATTCGTGATTGGCAGTCCACATTAGGAATGTGGTAATATCTTTTGATACTTGAGAGGCAGTTGCAGGAGTACCGTCCTCATATTCTAAGACTTCGTCATAAATAGCCTGTATAAAAGAACAAAATTATGAATATTTATTGTCTCTTTCTTTTATTCGACATATGAATACGCAACATTCAATACTGCTGATACTTTTAATTTAAAAAATGTAAATGACTCACCTGTGCCATACCAATTGCACCACCTGGGAAGTAGGGATTGAAATATTGTCCCTCTCTCAAATTTATGCCAGCTGGTGGATCACAATATCCAGTCAATAAAGAGGAAACGTAGTTCTGAAATGTATTAAATATTTTTTTATGAAATAGAAGTTATTTATAATAATATCCTAAATAATGTCAAGGCAACATAAAATGTTTTCGTTTTTCTCCCGTGTACTCAGGTTATCAAATATTTTCTTTTGAGCAAATTGTAATCAATGTTTTCTGAACAAAAATTTTAAGAGAAATTATTTTACAGATTTAATTTTTAATTGTACTAACTTTTGCTCATTTATTAAAAAAATTACTTACCTCTCCATTGTGCCTAGCATTAAGCATGTAAGATAGATCAGGTGGATAAGCACCATTGTTCGCTGCTCTAGCAGCTTCTTCATTCGGGTATGGCGATGGCACGTAATCGAACAATTTTCCTGGACGTTTGAAATATTCTCCTACATCATTAGGGCCATCCTCTATCTGTGGCATAAAAATTCAATATTATATCATAAATTTTATCAAGCTATGTGCAAAAGAAATGTTTCTTATAACTTGAAATTTACCATGACTTCTTCCGCGAGAGCTTTGGCTTCTGCTTCAGTGTGTGTAACATCAACGAGATGACGGTACGCCACATATTGCAAACTATGACAAGCTGCACATACGTTTTTGTACACCTCCCATCCTCGTCGCATACTATAAAATGTTATAGATCAACAACAATAATATTTGCATAGCACAACAATATCTGTTATATATGCTAAAAAATCGCACCTAGCATGATCTAGTGAGTTGAACCATCCATAAAAGTCCCATTTGTACGTCGGTGGATGAGCTATCAAATCACTAGCTCTTACTGAGCTATCTAAAGCATAGATGAAGGCACTGATGCCTCCAGCTGCTACTCCTAAGCATGTTAATAACTGTAATGAAAAAGATTAGAGATAATACTATTTGCTTTGTTGCACTATAGTTTACATAATATAACCACTATGTATATTATATAATTATGTCATATTGGGAATATAGATAGGTAACCAAATGTGAGAAATACTCTGAAACTTACTAATACAGTTGGAAGCAATGTTGAGGAAAAGTTGTTTTTGATGAGGAATAGGATAAGGTAGGATATCTTCAATAAAAATAAATAGATTCACGTACCACTTTTCGACCCCTAGGCCAATCTTTTACAGTGGAGAAGTTACTGGTCTGCAAAAATAAAAATTAAAGATCAGATAACAAATTGATACATTTTATCAAAAATAAGGAAACTACTTACTTTATATCTATATATTTATCTTTTTTGTATTTCCATTTTTTTAATATTTTGACCAATTTGAATTTATTTTACAATTATCTTAAATTTATAAGTATCTTTATTTATACGTTTCTTATAGCAATTATTAATCATCTAGATAAACTGTGGACTCAATTATATATAAAATAATGTTCACAATGCAATATGTATTTCCATCTATCAAACATAAGTCAAAGATATTAGCAATATTAGTTAATAAATAAATTTGAGCTTACTTTTTATATTCGTTCAATGTTTGTAAATATTACTGGAATACAATCAAATTAAAAAATATATACCTAAAGAGCATTATTCTAATATAATTAATGGGTGTGATACCATTCGACTGTAGTCAATTCGACTTTTTGTCAAAACTGACAATTGTGTACAATGTCACTTAAACGTATTTGCTCGCATAATTAGGCAACAAATCTGTCGAGCATTAATTCGTTGTGACAGCAAACGCAATAATATACATTCACCTGTCTTATTTCCTATTATTGAAGGCATATCAGCACATGTTTGTATAATGGCAGCATCCCGCTTTTCAATATCACTGACTATTACATAACATCTGTTAAAGTGTCGTCAAAATCTGTTACGGGATCAATATCGCGCGATGCCGCGTTCTTTTACCGGCGATTCGACATTGTGTAGACGTCTCGTACATTGATTTTGTAAGAAAAGATGTGACATAGCAGCCGACAGCTCGTACGGTGCCCTCAGCGAGCCCTCGGGTCATTATTGGTTAACAGTTAATATTGTGATACGGATGTCATGATATAGCGTGAATTTTCGCGAAAAAATGCACACAAGCACTTCAACGATATCGATATTGACCGTTCACTTACCTGGCCGATCAGCGTGCCATAATTCGGTTTCAAAAGACCCGATTTACAAATTCGACCTAACGTCGCCGCCATGTTGGCCAGAGGTGCAATGTGCAAAGGATTGAGTAGTCAGTGAAAAATCTGCTGAGTGATAAACGGAAAATAAATTTGCAACTTCTGCAAAAATTTTTTTATAATTATTCTGACTCCTTAATCAATCAGAAAGACTCGAGAGAAAAAGAGAAATTATTAAAATGTTGATAAAGAGAAGATATCGTGAAATTGATTTCGGCTGTAGTTGAGTAGGATTGCCAACTTTGCAACGAACATTCGTGTATCTCAATCGGACTCTTGAATAATGCTTGATATATAGCGTAAGTAAAGCATTTTTTCTTCCTATCACATATGATTTTTATTTCGCGTTATATTTATTATTTCTTTAATTATTTGAGACAAAAATCTTGTTTGCACATATCTTTAAACGTTTTAAGTAAGATAGAAAGTTGCAAAATCTGTCTACATTCGTCAGTTTGTCCAAAGGGTCTAAAGTTTACGTTTTCTTTGTTGTATTGAAATCATTACTATTATAGAAATTTCATATAACATAATCAGAAATATGATAAAAATTCTATGGCCATCATCTTTCCATTCTCAATAATAAATAGAGATCATTTTTCAGTGTTTGTGCAAAATTTAATTACAACCTTGGCAAAATTATACCGGTTTGTAGTCGGCTCTTTTGCATATTATACTAAAAATGGCTCATATAATTACACATTTACTATATATCGCAATATTTTCGTAATTTGCAGATACGCCCAAATCCGGCGGCAAGTGCAGGAGTGTGGCCGCCACTGTGGCGCATGCGCTGCCTACTGTTGGTACTCTTGGTAGTTCGCCGCCGAACATTGGTGTCAGCTGGAAGACTCCGTCAGATGGTGTCGTGAATCCTGTAAAATCACATCGATCAGTGCGCGACGAGGATAGTCAAGATGAGCGGTGGTATGCCAGAGCTGGGCTCGAAGATCAGTTTGATCTCGAAGGCAGATATCCGTTATGAAGGCCGCTTGTTCACCGTCGATCCACAGGAATGCACGATCGCCCTGGCCAACGGTGAGTAGCACGATGGGAATCCAAGATGGACTCCGTCGCACCGCATCCAGCGTGCTATCGCGCCGCCAATGCCGCGATAGCATCCCGCATCCCGATCGTATCTTGTTTCATGAGGTAGCTGTGTGGCGGGATTCCTCGTGTTCACTACAGTTTTGCCGAATCCGATTATCTATAGCGCGGACGTTTAAATGAATCTTTGCGTCTATCTCGTTTCCGTTGCCGCGGATAAACATAAAGGTCATTTTCCCGTGACCGCGGCGTCGGAATCTGAACTCGGCAAAATTGAACCGGCTTCAATTTCATCCGTTGGATCGCTAACAATGATCATTCGGCGCTTATTCGCCTTGATTTTACTTGCCAATTAGAATTCCGGTGCTTTAAAATGTTGTCCGACAAGTTACCGGTATGAGCGATTCGTCCGGCGGCATCCCGCCACAAAACAATCGGGGTCGCAGCGACCCGGGTCTTTCGTAACGGACGATTTATCAAAGATACGCCGAATGGACTTTAGAAAGATTCATCACAATGCAAAAGTTCGTTTCCTCTGTATCTATTAATCGCGTCCGGTCTCGTGTCGCGTGATTGAATATGCGCGTTTGGCGAAAATTAGAAGTATTGAATGACCACAGACTGTTAAGGAATATTTGATTTGTTGTGTCACGGTTATTTGGTCACTCAGCCGTCGTCAAATTACATAGCAAAAGTTGTCTTTAATTTGAAATAAAACTAAAAATTTTTATTTGGATGATTAGTACCAGGTTATTTTATAGTTTTTGATAATAACAAGTAAATGAAGAAAAAAAGTATATAAATTTTAAATGTAGTTTGTCTTATTGCTATATAATACATATTTTGCACATATTTTATTATATATAATGTAAGAAGTACAAGCTATTTTACATTAGAATCTCGTGGTACGTTATTGAGAATTGTATACTTATGAGGGATATAATTTTGAATTTGGATTTGGTATGTATAAGGTTTGTACGGTATGTTTGTCTCTTTCTTCAGAATGTTTACATGTCCTTGCTCCCCTTGTCCCGTTACATTCAATCAGGTATAGGCAAATGACTTTGGACTATTTCAAATCTAAGAAACAAATATTATTCTTAAGACTCACATTGATCTCTCTATAATACATGCGGATTGAATGTGTGAACATAAAAAAAACCTAAGTATATATAATATTTTTTTAGACGATAATGTAATATTAATTTAAAATAAAGTAATATTACACAAAGACATTTATCATAAATTAATATAAAATAATAGTGCTATTTATCCGTTATTCAACTTTGCAAGTAGTATCAGAATATTTAATTATTTGTCAGATAAAACTGTTGCAATTTTATAGTTATTTTGAAATAAATCAGTTTATCAATATAATTCCACTTGCACATTAATATACAAATAAATTGCAACAATTTTTCTCTGATTGCCAAAAGTCGATCTTTTTATAATACATGTGACTTGTGTATAGAAAAAAACCTAGGTATACACAATACCTTTTTATAAACAAATAACAAATATTTATTATTTTTTGTAGTGCGTTCCTTTGGTACCGAGGATCGGGAAACTCAACTTCCGGTGGCACCACAAAATCAGGTGTATGAATATATTCTGTTTCGTGGGTCTGATATCAAAGATATCAGAGTTGTCAACAATGTCAGTTCCATTCCCAATGATCCAGCTATTGTGCAGGTAATTATTTTATATAACTTTCATGTTTTATTATATAGCAACATATAATTTTGACATAAAAGACCTAAAAATAAAATTAATTGTTATATATTGATAAATTTTAGTATTTTAACATGATCCATTGTTTGTAGATGACAGTGCAGCCATCTATGGGTCAGCAGTCGTATCAACCACAGCCGTATCAAGCTCATCCGATGATGGGCCAGATGGGCCCGATGGGCGGCCAGTATGGAGCTCCATACGGCATGGGTATGGGAGCTATGGGTCCGGTAATGGGAATGCCGGCTGCAACTAGAGATCCCCGTGGAGCACTGAATAAACAGCCAAGTGAGTTGAGCTTGGGCTCTGCCGAACAGAATGCCATCTCTATCCCAAACTCACTGCCAACGGCCAATATCGACCCATTACCAAAAGATCAATCTCTGGAAGATGGTAAACTGTTTTTGCTATGAAATATCCCCTACCTTGGTGGCATGCTTCTTGCTGCTTCTGCTTTGGTAATGCCTGCAAAAGCTTTTCTATCAAGCTTTCTCACACTATTTTTTTTTTGTTTTTTTTTTTTTTACGCAGAACAGTTACAGTCAATGCTACAGCAACAAATTTTAAATTATCTATTCTATTAATGAAAATTTACTATTTTTATTACACTATCTTAAATTTTTAATCCATCTATCTATCTATAATTTTTCTGCACTATATACTTTGCTTGATTGCTTTTATATTTGTACATCTCATGTAATGTTTATAAGTAAATATTACTTTATACTTTTGCATGATAAAAAGAATTTTTTTTATTTTAATTTTTTTTGGAAATTTTTTTGGAAAATATTTTTAATAATGTTCAATTTTGAAATAAATATACAATTTTTACATGTAACTGGATGTTTTACACTTCATCTGTTTTAAAATTGGTGCATGATATTATTTGCATATTTCAATTTTATTCTTTTTATGCTTATATTATACATAACAGAATAGCAACAACAGTAATATTTTTAACGATAGTAATATCGTTAAAATATCCTCTAGAGATTTCTTTTATTTACGCGAAACTTTGGTAGAAATACAATTTTTCATTTTAAAGTTTGGAATGGAAAGTATTTCTTTATTTCCTTATATTAAAGTTTCGTGTAAGTTGAATTAGGAATGCCTGCGTTTGCTATCGCCCTCTTACATTAATAAAGACATACATTGTACGAAGCATTTATTTTACAAAAAAAAAAAAAAAAAAAAAACAAGGTGTATTAGATCTTATCAGTGGTGGTTCTCGTTCAACCACTCCTACATCATCTTTATTGACGAGGAAAAGCCCAACAATGGATCAAGGAATTCAGGTAGGACATGATCAACAATCACAGCAGAGCAGTAACATGGGAAAATTGAATGACAAGTCAAACATCAGGACCGTCCAACCGCCTCGTCGAGATCATGACAGGTATTTTCTCTAAAAATCTTTCTTGCTTCTATAATAAAGCTATAAAAGCTGTTTTATATTGCTAATAATGGTTTTGATTTTCTAAGATTCTAATTATCATTATTATATTAGAAGTATGATTGTGCGTGCAACTTTTTATCCTTATCTTTATGTTTATCTTTATGTAATGATAAATTTTTTAATAATTATAGAGCAATTCTAAATATATCACTGTTATCATTAGTTTTTTTAGAATTTTCTATAGTAAACATTTTTTTATATTTTTAGTCACGGAGGTCCTAAGACAGGCATGTCTCAGTACAATGATAAGAGGGACATGATGAAACAGGACGGTCAGAATCAAGGTCACATGCAAGGTGGCAACCATCGAGGCAATCGCGGTGGTTGGGTGAATCGTGGCAACATGAGAGGCAGAGGAGGCAGAGGACGCGGTGGTTTTCGTACAAATCAAGCAGGCAACGCTGGTGCCAAGCCTAAGAATACACTGAAGTTTGATAACGACTATGATTTCGAACAAGCCAATACTGAGTTCGAGGAGTTGAGGTAAGCATAAATGTGCACTGAGTATATTAATGATTGATTGCGCATGGTTATGTGCCGGATTCATTTCAAGTAATCGTCGAGATGATCAATGTGGATACCATGCGAGAGAAATTAATGCGAATTTAAAGCAATCGTGGTTATATTAAATACACGTTGCTTACGCATCGCATTAACAATTGTCTTATCATCAAATTGTTAATATAATCTTAATACAGCATAATAATATGCACGTGAATATAACATTTGTGTCTCATCGTAGATCGAAATTGGCAAAGACGAAAATCGACGGTACCGATAATGAAAAGAAAGACGACAGCGGGAACGAAACGGGCGCGGGCGAAGGTGAACCTGAAGAGGAACCAGAAATCGTTCACTACGATAAATCGAAATCATTCTTTGATAATATTAGTTGTGAAGCTGTGGAAAGGAGTAAAGGGTATGCATTACAATTATTGTAATCATTAAGAATATTCAATAGATAAATAATCACTGTGTGTAATTGAAGAGTTTGATGCAACAATAATTTAAATTTACTTTTTTAAGAATCATGATACAAATTTATATGAAGAATATTTAATATTATGCTCACTTTTATTAATTATGAATTGAATTTTTTCAAGTTTAAAATCAATTTTTTTATGGTAGACGAAAGGATTGTAGTATCAAATCTCAATTATTCTTCAATTGTGCAATTATCGTCCTCAATAAATTTGTTTTACATATACAAATTTTTTTAGGCGATTCCAACGTACGGATTGGAGAACAGAGCGTAAACTAAATTCAGAAACGTTCGGCGTGGCTTCCACAAGACGCGGAGGATTCCGCGGTCGTGGTTATTACAATCGCGGTATGGGCGGAGGTATGTACAGAGGCAGCGGCGGCGGCGGCAACTCCGGTTTCCGCGGCGGTTATCGAGGGCCTAGCAGGGGCGGTAATCGCAAGCCTGGTAATCAATTACAGAGTAATACAGGAAGTCAAAATCGCGCGACCAACGAACAGTCTGTCTCTCAGTCGCAGGCGAACGTTATCTAAATAAAAAGAGAATGTAATTTGTCACCGGTACGGCGTAAAAAAAAAAGTATAAATAATGCCGGGGAGAATGAGCGATGCTATATATAAGTATTCAACTATAGATTAAGATTTTTACGATATGTGCTCTACCGTTACGGACTGATTTGGGTTAAACTTTGGCAATCGAATCGGACGGAGATATACGCGGTTGGATTAAATATAGATTATATAACGGAGCGCGTTTGCAATCGCCGAACCGGTGGTTACGTGTGGGGTTAAGTGACAAAAATCGCACATGTGGACGTTGCTGGCGCATATGACTCTTTGCATCGATATTTTGCGGCTAGATGATCGAAGAAGGTACTTTTAGAAAAATTTTCTTACCGCTTAGTCGACAATGATCACGATGAGTTGGCGTTAAAAAAATAATATATAAAATTTCTTTCGCATCAGGAAAGCGAAGTCAATTACAAGTAGAACATTGTTCCTTGTTCTTCTTTTTTAAATTGATACTTATTTGTGCATTCAGATATGAATTTGAGAAAGAAAATTACCTGTGGAAGAATTAGTTGTAAGTTTTATTGGAAATATATATGTCTAATTGAAGTCTTAATGGAATAATCTGAATCACATTAAACGAGTCGTGTGTCTGTGTGTAGTTAAAGAAAAATTGTACAATTCTATCGTGATCATTCTTCAGTTCAGGTTTTCTCAAGACTTGACTTATAAATAATAATGGAATGGCTTTATGATGATGGTGACTTGATGATACTGGTCGTTAGGGAATAGCTGGTTTGTATCCGTATATCGGAAGTGAATGGTAAAATAGACGTGCATAAAAGTACTTTCTCGTCAAAGTATGTAAAAATCGATTGTATCAAATTGCATTTGTCGAGATTAGGAATATTGCGAGGTACATAGTACAAGGCAAATCTGGCACAAAAAAATTATTCTTTTCTTTTGTTTTGGTTTTTTTGAATGTACGTCGACAAAGTTTTTCAAATTCTCGGCATAAAGTTTATGTAAACGTATGATTTTATTAGAGCGGATAAATATAATAAGTAGAGAGAAATGAGTTGGCGAAAGCCAGTTTATATAAAATTTTTGTATTATTCAATTGAAACCTTGCCGGCCCGCTTACTCTTTGCAAGATCTGCATTTAGAATTACGAAAGGTGTAAGCGTCAGTCTGATCGTTGTAAGTAGCTAAGTTCTAAATCATGTTACATAGTTGTCATCGTGCGCTGCAACTAAGGATTCCTCGATTGCTCTCGAATCTATCGAGTATTTTCAATTAAGAAACTTGTACGTCTACTTACAATTTATAAAGTTAATGTTTCGAACATTATCAGTTATGTAATTACATGTTAAATCTATATTTTGTCGGTTTATTTTTATTTTTTCCGTTAATTCTAAAACTATAATATAACATGCACACGTATTGAAAAAGAAATTGGTGCACTTGTAATCAACATACATGTATGAGGTGAAAAAAAAGCACTGTAGTTAAAGACTTATTTATTATAAGATAATTATGATATTTTCAATCATAATATTATTTATCGGAGATAACGATCATATATGTATATTCAAGTGGAACTACAATTAATCCTTTTTCTTTTCATAAACTTGTTCTAGTTTTGGAACAAGAATTAACGAAAGCTTTTGTATATAAGCGAACAATTGAGTGTGCTTGGATCATGGAAATTCGAAATTGAGCTTATATATATATATAGCAAACATTTACTAAAGTATTAAACGTATAAAGGTATTTTTATCATCTTAATTTGATTGTAATCGACTACTCATGCTTCCGAAGAATCCTTCTTGATGCACGATGACGCTGCGCGCAGAATTGTGTTAAATAGCGATGCGAATAAGAGTAAAAGCATGATGTCCTTAAAGATATAAGACGTGAAAGAAACAGAATAAGAATATTATTTGCAACTATTATTTTTCTATGGCTCATACGGAGTCCAACTCATACAGATAATTATATACATACATACACACATAAATACAAACACGTAACTTGAGATTTACATAACTGGTAAGCAGACCTCCAATAGGCTATCACAGGAAATGCAAAGTAAAATAAAAAGAATAGGACTATAAAACGAAGTAAGCGAATAGAAGATAATACGGTGGTGAGGAAATTTAACTTTTAAGTTTTCATGCCTAGCGCATGCGAGAAAGAATACATAATGTACGTGAGAATGAATTTTTTTTTGTACAGCAGATATTGTGATTCCCGATGCTGAATAATACTGGAATGATGAAATAACACGTCGTGTCATTTTCAATCTCTCCTATATGTTTTTTCCGGTATTCGATTAAAGCGGAACCTTTTTTCTTTCTTCACGAAATTGTAATATTGCGAAGGTTGTTACATTCACATAAATCATTTTTTTTCCCGTGCTCCCTCTTCGATAAACGAATGAAAATTTATGGGTTTAAACGTCGGACTATGTGAATTCAAATGAGCGATTTGAAATATGCACACTGTATGGTTTTGAAAATATGTACTGGATGTAAATAGAATTATATAATCTCTTTCTTTTTCTCTTTTTCTCTTACTTTTTTTTTATATGTATAGCAACGTATATAACGTATACTAACGTATGTTGTAAGGCTATCGACGATATTGAAATGCGCATTACATGCGATGTGATTACGGTGTACGCAAAAAAAAAAACTGTCTTCCACATGCTACATAGCCAGTAAAAGTCACAAGCAGTTTTAAATACTTGATAAGCTAAGTAGAATAATTTATTACCGATATCGCACCGACATAGATCAACGGGTCACGTTAGTTCGCAACTGGGATTCATTGGGAGTAATTATATCTTTGCACTTCTACGTATTTGTATTTTTAAACGGCGTATTTAAATGATTGTAAAAAATAATCATTGCTACTAGAAATTTTTGAGTTCCCAACGTGTTTCGTTATTACCAAAATTTATAAAAAAATTTTCGAGTTTCCGTATCGATCAAATCCTGTATTAGTTTTTCAGGTTTTTCAATATTAAAGTAAATTTTTCAAAGCATTTATTATAAAATTTGTACATCACAGGCATCTTTATACAATCGGATGTCTTGCAAAATGAAATTGTACATATGTATACGCATGTTTGAGGAAATTATGACAGAAATATGTGTGAACTAGCGAATACACCCAGACAGTAAAAAAATGCGCGAATTTCTTAATATAAAATCATTTACGAAGAATATACAAAAATATGAAAGTAGATTTTTTGCGAAATATTGCAATCATTTCCGCTTCTTGAATTTGCAATGTATTTTTTGTTTCTACATACGCGCGAAATATCTTCACTAAGTCTCATTGCGTAGGACGAAAAGATTTTCAATGTTAAATAGAGCGAGGGAGATCATGATCGCTAATTATTGACGAGCGTTCAGGCGCAGCTCATTAAGCCTGTTCTCGTACTATCACAGACTTCTCTTGTCATACGACCTCTCGCGACTTTAGTGTCAACGTGTGGGAAATTGTTCTTGTAATGACGACGCAAAGTGCATGGATTCGGCATGTAAACCTCGTAAGGCGCTTTGCCGCTCTCGATGACCCAAATACTGCCGGACTCGCCGATCCTCAAAATTGTCATTAGACCCTGCGCGACTATGTAAGGCCTACAAGAACAAAATTAAATAAATAAAGCGATGCACAATCTATTTGTACTGACCTTGCGATTATACGTAATATTTTTGATTTATATTCTAGATATTTATTATTCACGAGAGGGAGCACGCGTCGTATCTTATTGTTAGGAAAATATTTTTGAATAATTTGTAAAAGAAAAGCATTTGATTATTATTTGAGAGAGTGAAAGAGAGAAAAAGAGAGGTATTTCTTAATTATGTTAGTGCTATTACGGTCATGATCAATTGTGCATAAACAATACATCTACGATGACTCACGTTTGTATGGAGAACTGTTCAAGGTTTTTGACGAAATCCGCCTTCATAACTCGGGAGAGCAGTTTATTCGGGCTGTCGACTGTCAGAGCGGTTTCCGTCAATCCTGGGCACAAAGTTATCACGGTGACACCGGTCTTCTCATAATGATAAGGATCCTGTTTGAAAATAAATTGATTAAATTCATGTGAGCAATAATAATTAAAGATTTTTTTTAGTAATCTTGTAATTTAGAAGATCGCTTCTAGATATAATATAAATATGAGATTGTTAAAATAATCGGATTTAATTCTTTGTGTAGTTACCGAAAGAGACTGCGATAAACCGATGACGGCGTGTTTCGTGGCGGTGTAAACCGGAAGTTGAGCTGTGTTTTGAATATTCACATGTTGGCTGACGTTTACCAAGATACCACCGTGACCGCTCGCATCTTTGCTCATGTAACGCATCGCTAGCATCGCAGTGTTGATCATGCCGCCCTATAATGAATACATAATATTAAGTTAGGATAAAAGGTATTTATTTGCATTATTACATTTATCATTGATCAATGAAATTTAATTTTTTTTATATTTGGAAACATTTTGCAAAGCCACAAAATTATTTAAAACATAAAGATATAAAGTATAGGGATTCTTCGGCAAAGAATATCGTAAGAGAGCGACGTAAGAAGATCGTAAAACTAAGAAATTATTATTAATGAAATTAGTAAGCTTAATGACACTTACGATGTTCACCGCAATTTCCTTCTCCCATCTTCGCTCGTCTAAAATTCCAGCATTGTTTATCACGATGTCAATGGTCCCCAATAGTAATGATGCCTCCTCGAAGGCCCCTATCAATTGATACAGTAAATGCAAAATAAGATAGTGATACTCGGTGAGAGGTCCAATGATTATAATATTTGAATAAACATCTATATGAGATTTGAGAATCTTGTTTCATGTTTACCAGTTACTTGTTCATGATTAGATACGTCGGTGTGTATGAAGTGCACCTTTTTCTCGCCGCAAGATTTTTCAATAGCTAGCACGATCCGTTTGCCGGCTTCAGCGTCGATGTCCAATACAACCACTTTCTGTAACAAATTTAAATATGCCAGTGCCGATTATTCACCGCTTCATAATTGAAACAATATCTTATTTACAAATTTGAAATGGATATCAATATTTTTTTTTTAATTTTTCTTATACAATCTTGTCAATTTATATACTTTTGGATCGTTAAACTTACATTTGCACCGTGCTTCAGGAAATGATTGAGGAAAGCATATCCTAATCCTGCCGCGCCACCGGTAATCAGAACATTTTTTCCAGAAACAATACAATTGATCGCTTCTATTTCCTTCGCCTTTTCAGAAGCTGAAGAACGACGACGAAGTTGTCTCAAATTTGGATCTGTAACGTAATATAATGCTATCGTGTTGTTTACTGAATAATAATCTATTAATTTATGTAACTTCTTATCTCTTTCCTCTTTTTCTAGATAACGTATTATATGGAAAAACGAAATAATTTTATCGGTTTTCTATTCTTATCGTAAAAATCAGCCAAATTTACTTGCTTTATTTTGTTTCATAAATTTAGCCACGAAAAGATATCTTCTTATGTTAAAATTCTGTGATATCTTCTTATTTTTGTATATTTTATCATTTTTGTTTATTGATAATTCGTTGTTTCAGTTTTTTAAAAGACCGATCTATTGACAGTTTTATTCCGCATTCGTTTAATAAATGTCACATAAATTTTGCGATTGCAATGCATTTTAGGAAAGATGTACTGCAATCTCTTATATTTAGGCAGTTTTTTGCAGGATCGTGAAGTAATTCGTTTTTCTACATCACACAAGAACATTTTTTTGTATCACATGTTTTTCATGATGGAACACTTTCTGAATTGTAGAGTATTGCTTTTGAAATATTGACAGATACATGTTTTGTAATGAAAAGATTAGACGTACCCATTTTTCTCCGTAAATTATGAATGTCTATGAATTTCTACGAATATTTAAGAGACACACAGCCAATCCTGTTCAAATACTTGAAGTGAAATCGAAGCCTAGAGCTCTCGCTAGTAATACGTTTCGACTGAATATCAAGACCGTTCTCCGAATGGTATTTATATGCGATAAGCAGCAGCAATTTCACGATATTGCGACTTCTGTTTCAGTCATGGCGGGGATGTTTCCGAGGGCGAAGGTGAATTCGTGACTGCAAACTTATGCATAGATGAAACAACCGAAAGGTGATAATCAAAAATCGATTTTTTGATTCTCTCACTAAAACTTGACATTGTCAAACGATAAACAAAGCTCAAACATCAGCTATCGTTTTGTTTTTAATTAAAAAATGTATTCATTATTATTTTATTCAACACTACAGTTTATTGAGATCGTGACTTTCAATAAGAATTTTTCACGATTTTTCAATCATTTACGTCTATCGAAAAACCTCTATTTTCTAATAATGTTCCTTATTTTTTCTTTTGCTAGATTAGTTAGCCGTGTCTTATCATTTTTTTCTCGCGTTGTTCCCGATAGTACTTCCTCTAATCAATTCTTTTCACAGTGACTAATTAATCGCGTCGCACTGGCAGCCTGCTTTCTGATATTAAATATATTTATTGTACTTCTCTTTTTACTTAAAGATAATAACGGTATGACATATCATATCGCAGCAGGTCGTGGTGCAAGCGATGCGTTACACTAAGGTGATTGCATTTTCAATGAGATGTTATGCGTTTGCCTTTTATACACTATATAATACTACATACGAAAGTTATATAAAATTTATATATATTTTCCTTAGCGTCGTGCAACGTGAAAATAATTATCCTACATATTTATAAAATAATTTAATAAAAATCTGCTTACAAAGTATACTCGAAGCGATTAAATGTTTATGCGACTTATAAAATTGCGATTTATTTAAGTTCATCTCAGCTCTGTATTTTTTTTAGGTTCTTTCACGGAATGTTTGTTTTCCATATTTGATCGTACCTCGGTGGGCCATTTCTCTTGATAAAAATTTACGACGACTGCGGAACGAAGATGGTTGGTGAATCGTAGATTACTCTTAGCAACGAGACGAAATGTTTTCATCCCTTTACGTTTCCTGCATCACGAGGCTCTCAGATAACGTATCTTTCAACGTTACTTTCAAACTATTCTTTCTTTAAATCCATTAATAGCTTTATTTCCTTCAACTGCGTTTTCTGCAATTGCAGTTTTTTCATTTTTTTTTCTCAAAGTTTAAAACTGAATTTTTTTTGGATAAATGATTCGATCTAGGCCCAGCGTGAATTTTTTTTTAATTTTAAATGCAAGAACGTTGCAAGAGAAATCGATTTATTATAATTACGTTCATTTTATCCTTGTATTATTTTTATGAACTGATATGATTAGAAAGATATGGCTAATTAAAAAATTATTAAGCATACAATATTTGACGTAAAATGACACGAGACTATTCATAGAAGAGCAATGTGTAATTCGCAAGGGTCAAATCCAAGGCAAATTATCGTGCGATTCCTTGAAACCGATTATCGGGTGAGTCTTGCTCTACGAATCCGATTTGTGTAAAAATCGTATAAAAATGTCTGTAACGACGAACGTAAGAAACCACGCAATAGATGTTATCGATCGTGTTATCACATCAGCAGTCAAATGTAGCTGACCTTTTCATGATCCCACTGTTACGTGGGAGATTTTTCTATATTCTTGAATTGAAGAATTGGGACATAGAATTGATAAAAAGAACTCTCTCTCTCTCTTTAAAGAAAAATAAGTAATGCGAAGGAAAAGAAATCGACTATCGCTGCGTCTTCGTAATTTCTTCGTATTTGCAAATTACATATATAAAATGCTTTTATCGTCGATCGCTCGTGACATCGAACTTATAAACAAAACGCACTTGCTGCAGTCGTGTGGCATAAAGCGGTGATAAGAGCTTGACGTGCGCACAGCTCGTGCTAGCTGCATCTTATCGGGAGAAAAAATGCATTTAACGTCCGGTCGGCGTCGCGCCGGTGATAAATCAACGACGAAATTGCTCAGCCCCTAGCCGATACCAATAACCGGTATAAATCGGTCTCGATCGAACTTTACTCCGAAACGAGACAAAAGTAATTTCTCGTGTGATTTTTACTCAGTTATCGCGTTTCGCTGCATAGTGACGGGACGAGATTCTCGTCTGTATGCATTTATGCATCTGTCTGCGGCGAGTCAGAGATGTATCGGTTTAAATATGCGCGTCTGCTGAAGATTATACGCCATTTATCAAACGGTTAATAACTGGTACAATGACTGGTTTCTAGAATATTATTCCTTATATTGTTATGGTCGTGTTAAATGTAATTTTTTAATTTTTCATGCAATTGGTAGATTTAAATTTGTGTAGCTTGGAATTATGATATAAATCAGGTGTTTTTCTCTATCATTAAGTGACAAATAAATTTTTTTATTATCACAAATGTAAAAAGTTACAATTTGAAAATATGAATTATTAAAAAAATATAATAATAGAAACACTTCTATGAATAAAACAGAAATACATGAATTTTACATTCTATTAAAATTTTCATCAATTAATTGTCTTATTTAACAAACTATTTTATTTAAAATTACAGTCTGTAATTAACATTATTGTTCTCGATTAACAGCTACTTTTCCTTCATATCAATTTCGCTTTTTTTCTGCGGTAAAGTGTCGGGAAGCAGCACTTCGTAAACCGGCTTTCCATCCTCGGTGATCCACACGCTGCCGTTTTGCGCGCATCGGATTATATATATTAATCCATGAGCGACGCTCTCCACCCTATCAATAGATCTCTCTTTTACATTTAGTTCAGATTGTGACGGCAAAATACAATATATAATAAGTTAATGATAATTTTACCCCTGCGGTCGATAATTTTTCAAAATGTCGGTATCTGAAATACTTTCTGGCAAATCTTCTAAAACTGGTGTTCCAGTCAAACCAGGACATAGAACGATTATTTTTACATTGGTCCTGTCATAGTGATAGGGTAGCTAAAAATCCAAAAAAATATTAAAGTAATATAAATATTAGATAACCCTTTTTATACAGAAGATAAAATTGAAATTTAAAGAAAGAATTTGTCGGAAAAATAATTTTTATTTAATTATTTGGATTTTCGAGACAAAGTTGTTTGATATATGATATGATTGATATTTCTAAACTCTCGTGATGTTTCGTGATATTTCTCTCTTGCTTATTGAGTATTTTATGTAATGTACTTACAGCAAAAGAACGACTAAAACTAACTACGGCATGCTTCGTAGCAGAATACACGGGAAGTTGAGATACTGCTCGTAATCCAGCAATGGATGAAATATTTACGATGACACCACCTTTACCTCCAGAGTCTCTTCGCATTTGTTGAAGTCCTAGGAGAGTTCCACGAATTACAGCTGTCTACAATAGTAAGATTTTCGAATAATTTCAATTTTATTTAAAATTTCTTAAATATACGATTTTATTTTTCAAGACACAATTAGCGATGTCTAAACTCAGTATTGATAAACTTTTCCAAGATGAATTTAAAGTCTTTCTCACGCTCGTTATCAATGCATTAAATCAAAATTAAAATAAAAAATTACGAATTTACCACATTAACGTCGATTGCTTTAGAAAAGTCGATTTCGTTTATTACTTCTGCATTATTTACTAAAATATCCAGCCCTCCGAGTATGGTGATCGCCTCTTTAAATGTAGCTACAACAATGTTTAGATTATGAATATCTGTCCTTTCGATATATATATAAATACTATAAGCATAATCTGATTTTTTTAATAATAAATATTCTATTTCTGTAGATACTTACCATCGAATTTAGAATTATTTGTTACATCGCAATGGAGAAATACAGCACGTCTGAGTCCAAATTCGCTGTTTAAACTCTCCACAGCTTGTTCTCCAGAAGATTCCCGAATATCGATCATAACTATCGTCTAAAAGTATATACGTGCATTTTATTATTTGTGCGTAAAGATTAATATACGTTCTATAAATAAAATTATTTTGAAATGAATTATCACATGATTTACATTTCAGTTACTGCATTTTTTTTTTCTTTATGTAATAACAACTTTATCTTGCGATTTTATTTTATATGCGCAAATAATATTTCTGGTATCTTTGAATGATAAACACTGTTCGTTTTTTAATTCAAATTATATATAAATATGGCAATGGTAAAATATTTTGTATTCAGTTCAAAATTATTAATTAGTAATAATGAAAATTGTTCATTAATTAGCGCAAAAAATCTAATTTGATTTAATGTTTACCAACCCAAACGGGTGAGAAGATATATAAAATTAATTTGGAAAATTATAATAACTTAATATTATTATATACATATCTTTGAAATGTGTTAATATTAACACCGACTGATAATATTATTATTATTAACATACCGATGCGCCATTTCGCAGCAGCTCCCTGCTAAATGCCAGACCCAAATCACTTGCTGCTCCAGTCACTATAACTCGTTTCTCCTTGATTTGCATCTCTTCTTTAGTTTTAACAATAATTGATTTCTTCTTGATTGAATGTGCTCTTTCACTTCAAGAAACTTATTTCTTAAAGATGTATCCACCAATTTTCGTATATGAATTTCTGTGTAGAACAGTTAATTGCATGTGATCAGAAAGCAAACACGTTTCTTTGCGATCAGCTGCAGTTGACTTGAGTGCCGCCTTGAACTGATATGAAAGACTGTTTTCATATAACGATCTTCGACCTCACAATCTACGTGACGTTTAATTTGTCATTGAAATTCAATCGTGGAGGCAATATTGTGAATGCTTTCTATCTTCTAATCGCATAGTTTAAATTACTATATTTCAGTGACATTTAAATTTTTATCTCATGTCTCGAAGACCAGTTAAGTAAAATCACAAATTAAATTTTGTATATTTGACGTATATTTACATTGAATAGTAAATAACAAATTTGAATTATTAAATCTTCGGTGTTCTATTTTACAGGAATACTTATAATCTTTTTCTTATGTAGATATAAGTATTTACAATTATGATTAATTCTAAATAATAATTTTTATTTTATTTATTGATGCCCAATTTTAGTGTAAAAAAATTAAATTCCAATTTTAGTATAATTAATCTTAAATTGAAATTATTTCTAATGAAATTTAAAAAAATCAAATTTACAAATGTCAATCTGCCAACATCGCTAACATTCTGCTTACTGGGTACGTAATAACTGTATAATAATCATCAAATCGATATAAAAGTTAAACGTTATATGTATATAGATTCAATCGAATAATATATTTCTATCTCTCTTCAGACTGATCAAATTTCATACTGCACAATGAAAAGGATAATTCTGAAAAAAAGGTTTCAATTTTTTGCTTTTGGGGCGCGGTCATTTTTTCGCTGTTGTTAAAAATAAAAAAACCGACGGGACCAACGAGATAATGCGGTGGGCTGCCGGATAGTCTGCCGTGGAATCGCAAACATACGCAATTCACGCACATGTGTAAAGGGCACGCACCGTCGGCGTTGCGCACACCCGCACGCAGACATTCCAATCAATATCGGACTATACCGGGTGTACACCCCGACAGTCTGCGACCATTAGTCTGCCAGTGTACCAACCACACCTTCCGAGGTCGCTTCGTTGCCGTCATCGTCGCTTGCACCCTTTGGCAGAGCAGAGGCACGTCTGGACTACTGCGTCCGAGTACGCACAAGCCGACTTGCCATTATTACTCGACTGGTCGCGGAACGTCAGCACGAGTGGAAGAACTTGAAAGGTACATTAAAAAAAAATAAGCCGGCGAACTTGATCTCACCGGGATGGATGGAGAAAATATCTGAATTGAGCGATGAATAGAATAGATGGATTTTTACTTTATGAGGCTTTAAAGTGCTTAGCTGTATCTCGGAATTCCTAATTTGGTGAATTTGTGGTACATTGCCGTGAGAGATGTAATTGAAATGCAAATTACACGTTTATCATCGATGTCTGAATTTTGCTTTCACAATGATAGCGAGATGTGTTTGTCGAAGTGACAGGTGAGAGGGCAATGTGCTACATGTGTGAACGTCCGCTACCCTTAGAACATATAGGCATGAATCAATTTTTTATGAGACAGAGTTGAGGGTGATTTAAAAAGAAAAAAATAATATCTATCTATCTATTTATCTATCTATCTATCTATCTATCTATCTATCTCG